ATATACTTGTCTAATGAGACTAATTTAGCAGCTTTAACAAGCGACTAATCACATTGTTTATTGAAAAATTTAATACCCATATCGAAATGAAAAATATATTAGAAAATAATGTATAATTTAACGAATGAAAAAATATCTCTATAAATCCCCATTACCTCAAGACATAATTTGAAATATAATTAAATCACAGGAATATTTTTATAGTTTAGTAAAATAATAGTATATATGAATTAATGATTTTTACTAGTAAACGCAAATATTTCATCGGCAATTCATAACTACGTAATTATAATATAATTTTAAATAATCTAATGATATTTATTACTTATTAATTGTATTTGTTAATAGATCGTTATATACGGTATAATTTTCAAGGTTCATAACTATTTCTAAAGTGTCTAGTCTATATTATTGTTCTAAGAAATTTATCAACGATTTTTCAGACTGATAATTCCTTATTGCTATACATCATTCATAAATTCACTGTTTACACATTTGTATTGTTGCAACTATATGCGTAAAATACATAAATATGTGCTAAACATTACCTTGCCGAATAGCGTTCTCCATTCGGTATTTTCAAATTTTTACTAATACATTTTACTCTTTATATTTTTTTAATATTATCTTTTATAAAGATGTTATAACTAGTATAAAATTATTTAAATATATAGTTATTTCAACTTTAATTATTTAACAGAAAAATTGTTGTTAATAATAACATACTAATAATTTTATTATAAATAGATACAAAATAAAATTTTTAATAAGTAATAGGCATTGATTACTTTACTTTTACCCTCAAAGCCTTTAAAATCATTCGTTTTGAAAATACTAAGCTAATGACCGATTTCTTAATAATTGCAAAATATATCGCAAATAAAATTCATCCCTTCGCTGCTCCAAATAATCGTCCAATCCTTAACGCTTGCCAATACATTATTACAATAGTGATCGATCGGCTCCTACTAATTACCTACAAATGCTGAATTTTTATACTCTGGGCTCTACTTCTTATTCATTACTTTTGACAAAAGATTGCTAGTGTCTTTGTAAAAATTTTCTCGTTGCTCACTTCTTTACTTTCAGCTTCTAAGTGTCCATTTTTTCCATGTATCTATCTATGCTTCCAACAAACTTCATATTTAACTTCTCCTTTTATATTTACTAAAAAGTAGACCGTATGGTCTAATTCTATATATTTTCTCACTATTTAAAATAATAAAAATGAGAGGGCCTATGTAGATACGAATGTGTTTAAAATATATTAATATGAATATTAATATGAAACGTCCGCCTACGCTTGTATTTACAAGAAGTTCATGCACAATAACCATAGATAAAACGTGTAGAATGTGTGCGGCACCATGTAGAAGTGGAAAGCAATTAAGGAATTAATAAAATAGGAGTATGAATACGGAAGATGGCATTAACGTTTAAAAAATTTCTTTAAAAAATATAATTGTTATACAGAATTAGTATGAAATCTGTGGAATGATATTAAATATGATTTTAGCATAAGATGTTAAAGCGTTTGATTGAAAAAATTGAGTCCAATTCTCGAACTTGGCACATCCAAATATAATAGAGTGAGAGAGAGAGAGAGAGAGAGAGAGTGAGAGAGAGAGAGGGAGAGAGAGTGAGAGAGAGAGAGAGAAACAACAACAAATTCATTACAAATTGATTAAAAACACTGTAAACAATTAATACGTATTCAAACGTAATTTAATAATTTAATGCAAGATTACGATACAAAAGTAATGAACAATACAAGTTTATATAATTTAACGAGCAACAGTTTTGTATGATTAAAATTGTTTTTCAATTTACTAAATTAGTGAGAAATATCGATAATTAGTAGGGAAAATTAATTTTATTATGTATCAATGATTCTATAACATTATACGACAATGTGGCAGTGCCAATGCAACCAATCCAATGCAATACGATAAATATTACAAGTGTCTGCTTACAATTCAATGAAGGAGGATCTTTCCCATCCGCAATTCTAGTGATTAGCAATTACATAACATTGATAGTTAATAGGCTAATAAATTAGTCATTAGAGATTTAGTCGTATGGAGTAGTAAGTATAAGTACTTCGCACGGGACATAATTATTCATCCTAATTTTGAAGCTTTTTATCTGCTCAAAGATTACCCAAAGATATGAAATGTAGTTTGTGGGTAACATTTTACTTATAATGTCATGCCCTATAGTTCCATTAATTGTGAATTTATAAATTTAAATCGAATGACGTATTAAGAAGATACCGATGTCGTAACCCATGTAACAATATTATTACCTAACTAATAATTTAAGTTGTGAACTGAACTGAATCTTGACTTCAATGTTTACTTACTATCATAATAATAACCTATTTTTTGTAATAGAAAATAACACGAAATTAAAAACGTCGACATGTTGTTACTAAGAACAGCTCCTCTTAAGAGACGATTACAATAGTTCGAAGATGAATTTACGCTTATGAAAAATGTATATGTTGAAAAGATTTTAAAATAGATTTTTCCTTCTTAATTAAAATATTATTTACTTTTATACAATACGTAAATAGAAAGCTCAATATCTATACTTAAAAAGTGATTAATTGTTTAATTGATTTTGAGATGGACCTTCTCAAGAAAGTTAACATAAATCGAATTATAAATTTTTCAAAAATAACTACTCGTAGATATCAATAAATCTAATAAATTAGTCACTGCCGAAATAAATTAACAAATTACGAAATAAAAATATTCCTTCACATTGAATATATGATTACAAATTTATGTGGATTATAAAATCAAACCAAACTTCTTAATTGAACATTGTATTCTATTATATTTTATTTCATAACAATTTTATAAAATATAAAAAATTCAAATTGTATATTATCAAATAGAATTATACATTTTGATCTACGAACAATACTATACCCATTTTTAGAAAATTTAACTTTGACATAGTCATTTCTGAAATTATAATATAAATGATTCGTTTTCGTTATTATATTTCAAATAAATTAAAGAATATATTACCGCCAAATACTAATTCACACATTCCTTTACATATGCATTTTTCAACAATTTTTTTATCATAATACACACTATTACTAACGATATTATTCAATTTGACAATATAATATTTTGCAAAATAAAATTATATGCGAAAACTAAAAGTACTCCAAATTAAATTTAGGTTATCTATAATCTAACAATTGAATACAGAAAAACTTCCATACAGATACCAATTTTTGTTATTACGTGGAAGTTATTTGTATGAAATGTTCAATAATATAGAATATTCAATGAATAAAACAGTGAAAATCTGTTTTACCAACCATGTGATGTCGTTTTTAAAATATTTTATTTTTCATAATATAGTTCACAACAGTTCCCAACGAGTTTGCAGAGCAATGAAATTTTCCTTTCTGCATTATACTCGAATTAAAAATATTTATTATATAAAAATAATATAACAAATTTATTTTAATATATTTCAATATCTTCGTTTAAGTTAACGATTATGTAATTATTTAAAATTTTCAAATTTTTATTCCAATTCACATATATAATGAATGATATAATGAATAATATTCAAATAAGAAAATATTATGTGATTTCAAATCTTATGATATGTTTGGAGAATTATTAGAGTTGTGTTATAAACATAAATTAAATTAAAATAATATTCAAATTATTATTATTATAATAATAATAATAATAATTATTATTATTATTACCACCATTATTAATTTAAGAGGTTAAAACCATTTTTTTTTGCATGAAATCAATACTGTTAAATCTGTACTTTTAATCTATATCGGTGCCGTAAGTTTATTAATAAAATTAATTTCAAGAGCGATAAGGGCAGCGATATAGCCTTATCAAATTAACAGAATGTGTGAAAAAAAAAATAAATAAAACTTAAATAAAGTATTCTTAGGTTAAATTTTTCATTTCTCTGTGAGTAGATTGAAATAAAAATAAAAATGCCTACACACACAATTTACTGACATAAATGTGAAAATTAAAAATTATCTAATAGTATGTGAAAATAGAGAAAGAAAATGAGCGATAGAACAACGAATGATATAGTAATCTGTCGAATGATGTATAATTTCGATCAACAGAATTGCTTCAGGATTAGTAAGAACGCATTCTCTTCTGTGTCTTTTGATTTGCGGACGAGTCCGCATACCTACGTGACATTGTCAAATAATTATTCATCGTTGCACTCGTCATTACATCGGTAAGAAAAATGATTGTTTTATATTATTTGTTGGCTATTCAAATCTCTTTATGTAGATTAAATTTTTTTTATATCAAGGATATATTTGTATCATTATTTCGTATAATTTGGTCTCACTCACTCTCTCTCTCTCTCTCTCTCTCTCTCTCCCTCACTATTTGATTTTTTCTATTTCATTTATTTGTCATTGAATCTGATAATATATGCATTAGGGAAATTGAGTTATACTCGAGTATAGTTATTATGAAAAAGTGCTTTAAATATCGCTAATGTATATTTTCCATTTAAAATAATATATATTTATCGTACGCTATTAAAATTTAATATTAATATCTACGAAATAAAATTTGCCAAATATCTATACATATATAATTTAGAAAAATGTTTAAATTCAATTTCTTAATTACATATTCGATTTTATATAATTGATATAAACTAGATATATTTGGTTATTATTGGAATCAAATAATATTCGTATAAATGCGTTTTATGATGAGATGAGACCTCAATAAATAAATTATAAGATCATATACAAATGATTATAAATCGCAAATAAATGGCTTGCCCGACCGATGTTGTGTGATCAGAATCTTATGAAAAGAGATAGGGCAAATAATCCGAATAATCAGCATTTTGCCGAATGAATGGACGTACACACTGATAATCAGCCAATCGTACCTTAAAGCTTAACGCACGCGCATTTTAAATGCTCAACCCGACGCTCGCGCGCAATATCTGAAAATGCTCACCTCGTTGATGTGTTTGTAGGTCTTGATGAGGTCGACGCTGAGTTTCCTGAGGGGCGCTGTGGCCGGGTCACGAAACCTGTGTGGTATCCGTGCCTGCATCGCGTGAATGTCGGCGGGCGTCTCCTGCGGCATGACCCCGGAGCCGCCCCCGGCGCCGGCCCCGCAGACTGCCCCGGGCAATGGCTCCTCGGCAACCAGTCGCCCGTAAAGAGGCGCACCGCCCGTCACCGTCCTCCCGCTCACTGCAACATTCCCATATGAGCACGCATTATCGATACGATCCACTTTATTATTGCGCGAGCCACTACCCATTGGCCCATGACCCACATTATCATCTGTCTCTAGGCACACATATTCTGAGACATTGAAGTATCTGTGTTTATTTGGTTGGGACTAGGATAGGGTAAGGGACACCACCGATGAGCCCATGTGAACGTCACGCCTAGCCGAGTATATTTTAATAACAAGACAATGCATAAATAATGCACTATTTACTTATCGATTGCAGAGCTTATTAGGCGCATAAATTGTATAGTCTTAAAGTTTCAGGGTTGGTAACAAACTGATGATTTTAGGGCAAAATTGTAGTAGGTAAGGATCATTCAGTTTTATTATATATTTATTTATTTTTAAAGGGCTAAAGATATAATTATCATTTCTTTAATCAGCATTCTATGATTATGTTATATTATATTAATTATACTGCTACTTTGGCCATTGGATAACAACCGCTGAGAATTTAAAATTCAATTTGAATTTAAATATACATGGACGGAAGCAAACATTTTTAATTAGATTATCGTAGTATTTTTATTTTTTCCGAATGAAATAACTGATAAAAGCATAAGACGACAATAATAAAGTTCGTCTTATAATTTTATCACTGTATACAATTTCGTAAAATTTATGAAATTCTATAATTAATATTTTAAATTACTATATCTTTTAAAATAAAATATTTTTTATTTAAAAACATGTACTTCATTATTGAAAGACAGAATTTTTTTATAATATAAATTATTTATGTCTGTTTGTAAGTATTAATCGTTAAATACAATTTTACGTAGTTTAACTTTTTACAATTCTAGTTTGAAAATAATAAAAAAAACAAAAAGGAATAATTTTCAAATAAGAATAATAATCTTCATTTCATCATTAATCACTTTACTAAAACTAAAATCAATTAAAATTTTAATTAATAAATTGACGCCTAATTATATATAATTATATTTATGGATAATATGAAATAGAAAAATGAGGTATATGGATATGAGAAATCATCAAAATATCATATTGATTAGAATATAAAAATTGTTGATGAAGCAAAAAAAAAAAAAAAAAAAAAAAAAAAAAAAAAAAAAAATTAAACATACAACGATTAAATTGAATTTTCTACTTTTTTATGTTTCTTTTTATGCTTTTTTTTTGTTTTTGTTTTTAAGATGTAAGAATAGTTTTATTTTTGATAGTATCTATTTCATAACACTAGAATAGATTTTATAATTCTATATAACTTTTATAATCTAAAAATCTAAAAATCCACAAAAAATTTTATTAAAAAAAAAAAAAAAAATTAAAAAAAGTTAAAAAAAGAAGAAATTTTACCTACAAATAAATGGGAGCAAGGTAAGTTCATGTTCACTCATACCTACGGCATACTACTTAAGACTTTTCAGTAGTCACTGTCAGTGTTACTCAGACTTGAATAAACAGTCCAAGGACAATCGATAACTGACCATTCAAATATTCTATAAATATGAATAAAGGCTAATTTGTGCGAAAGTCATTATGCACACGTACCGTGAATTTTATGAATAAACCTTAATAAAAATTCTACATTATAATAAATAGCCTCGTTATATATCAGGAAAATTGCGTGTGCACACGCAACTTATGTCTCGTTCGCTAACTTTATCTCTTTTTCTGTATTATTACTTTTTTCATTGGGTACATGTAACAATGAAAGTGTTGATAGTAACAGTTGTGTTGCACGCCAGCGCTGCAGGAATCGAAAGCGGTGGCGCACTGCACTCACTACCAACCATTGGTTTACCTACGTTGAATCTAGGCCAGGGCGCGGCTGAATGAAAAAAATATCATTCATTAACACGCTCAAGAAGAGGCTCTCAATCAGCTCATTCGAAACATGTCCCTGGCTTCTTACTATTTTTTACTCTTATACATTATTTTTCTACGTCGTCTCTCTTTATCAATTCCGATGGTTTCCTGCACATTTTTGTTAACTTCGTTTGCCTTTGAACGGCTATTTTTCGCTCAATTACACACTTAAGAAGCTTGTCTTCCAAGTATTACAAAAACATAATCATACTACAAATACATTGTATTTGATATATACCGAATATTAAATTTGAATATTGAAATATGAATGAGAACAATGTGACAATACATTTGTAGCTACTCGATGGTGTAGATTGTGCACGCACAGTTTCTAAAACTTGGTGGTTAAATACTCATCTACACGAACGATTTATAAATTATGTCTTATGACAAACATCTGTTACTATTCAAATAATTTATTTTAAATGATTTTCCATTGGCTTTTCAAATAAAGCGGCATCTAAATCATTAACTAGATAAAGACAAAGTTATACGTAATGTAAAAGTAATATTAGTTATTGTGATGAGCAGTTATTCATTACGTTGATCAAACGTCTTCTCCAAATATTATTGCGATACAAAAAGTCTCGAATTTATTATATTTATTAATGTATGAGAATAAGTTACAAAAATTTGTTATAATAAAATAAAATTTTTATCGAATTATAAAGATAATATTATTTGTTCGTCATTATTGTCATTTGTAAATGCGATATTGTTTAAAATTACTTATTTCTAAAAGAATATTGTAATTAAGCAAAGTATATTTTAATCTTTCGATGTGTCGATAAACTACGTAATTCTAAAACACACGCATTCGTATAGGTAAATAATTGCTTGAATAAAATTTCAAACTTTTTTCTCACCAAATTAACGATAAGAATTTTTTACATTTTAATACGCTAATAAGCAGTTGGCTTTATCTAATGAAATTAGATATTCATAAATCTAGAAATTCAAGATTGCGCATTAAAATTAGCATATAATAAATAGTGCGCATATATTATAATAATTCACGAATCTTTATTATTATTGCAATGAAGTCTGTGCTTTGAATGGACAAATAAAGTCAAGATACAAAACAGTATGATTCACTTAATATAAGCTTCAAATGATACTAATAACAAAAGATATTGTCTACCTTCAAATTTAATTATTCCTATTACATATTTCTAATTTATAGCCAAAGATATTTGGCTGTTCATAGATAGTCTAAGATATTCTTCTGTCATAATTCTTAGAATGCTGGGCGAAGATTAAAGGAGGAAAGGTAGAATTTGCAAGAGTGCGGTTGAGAGCCCCTATCGTGAGGTCATGAAAGCAACCTAACATAGGTCGTCGCCGCGTAATGCAGCGATAGCCAACACGCATTCTCTGCTTCATTCATGCTTTTCGATCTCCACCCCAGCATTTATTCTCACTCTAACTTTACTCCCCCCCCCCCACCTCATTCTCATTCTCAATTTCATTCTTTTCTCTTCAATTTATATATATTTTTTCGTCCATACACTTTGTAAATAGAGACTCCAGTTTAAATATATTAAAATGATAAATATTAAAATAATGAATTATTATAATTATTATTATTGTTATTATAATTACAAGCATTACTTATGTGGTACACTATAACTTTGAAATATTGTGATCGAGAAAGATTTAAAGTCTCATCATATCGAGAAAACGAATGCAAGGAGAAAAACCATAACTACGAGTATTTTTATATATTCAAAGTACGTACTAATCATTATTTTTCTCTTTATTCTCATTCTCTCTTCATCTCTTTGAATATTTCATTCTGACCTTTCAGTTGCGTCTTCCTGGATAGAGAGGCTTTCGTTTCGTTCGTTCATTACTTTCGTTAGTTTCGACATATTAAGCAGAATTTGATGTGTCGTTACCACCGCCATCGTCGTTTCGACCTTCCCCCCCCCCCCACTTGTCTCAAGTATTGTCGTTCGTTTTCTCAGGTCTCTTTCTTTTTGCGTGATTCCAAATCATGTCATGAAGTCTTTGTAGTAATGCATGCGTCACGCATCGCATAGTTAAGGTGGACGTTAAAACTCCTGCTTATTGATGTACATAATTTTTTCAAGCTTGACATGCAAAGTTTTTCAAAAACTTAAATTCACCTTATAAGTTTATTATTATCATTTTTTTAAAGAAATTATTATTTCATAGTTAACACGAAGAATGTTCGAATTGTATTTAAAAGAGCATTTTGTTAATCTTGTGTGCTTAAGAACAAAAATGATTTTTAAAAAAGATTACTTAAAAACATTTTCTTTTATAAATTGTAAATATAAAATATAAAATATATATATATATATATATATATATATATATATAATAATATATAATATATATATATAATATAAAATATAAATTGAAAATATAAAAAAATAAAGATATTTATCATAACAAATATAAAGTATAAAATAGTATTTATATTATCGACTGTTTTCATTGAAGAAGAAAACGTTTAAAATCGAATTGTTAAGTAATCTATATCTTTAAGTTCAAAATAGTTTACCACGTACACTATAAGTAGCATTAGTAAAATAATATAATGCAAAATTTAATATTTATAATACATATTATAACGCATTAATTATATTGGAGTATACACTAAAATTGCAGTAAATATGAGAGAAATTAATAAAAAAAGAAGAAGCACATATTTACTTGTCGAAAAGAAAATATCATGTAAACATTAACGTTACGGCAACAATAATAATAAAACGAAGAACCAAAGTTTATATTATGCAATTATGCAACAGCAAAATAAGAAAATTTCCTTTCAAAGAAAGTCGTTCGCCCCTCGTTCCTATTTCAGTAGAGCACCGACTTCTGAAACCATCGCCGACGTAATTCGTCGTCAGTTCATAATTGGTACTCGACTCTCTATCATATCAGTCTACATCCGTAAATGCCGAGGCTCTCACGAAGCATTGCATTCGTCACATAATGCGAACGTCTGCTCTGCAATGCACATACATACACACACGCCCCTAAATACAAAAGCTTACAAGGCCAACAATTCCTAGAGGATGACCCCAGAACATCTCTTGAGAAGAGACATAGAGCTATACTACATTCAATTAAGGACTCTAGATAGCATTTTCAT